TCCTCTCCTCTCCTCTCCTCTCCTCTCCTCTCCTGTTTTTTTTCACTCTTCCTCCCCTGCTCTTTGGGTGCAGGTGCTTTCCCTACTGCTCTCATCTCTCAGTATCTGTGCCAGTCAAGCAGTGAAATTGCCTCCTGTCTTCAGTGCTGTCTGAGGTCACCCAAGGAACTCGAGCTGAGGCTCCAATGCAAGTTAAGCTAAACACAAAATGCTTTTTACAAGCTCTTCCTCCCCAGCTGTCCAGGTCTCCTAATAAATGCATGTTTTCTCTTGAAAGCTTCTCAAGGTTTATTTTTGAAACAGTCTGTATTTGATTAAAGTTTTGTTTTGTTTTGCTTTGTTTCAAGAGGAACTTAAAAGGGCCATCAGCCTGTAAACATAAATATTCCCATTCTTTCGCTGATTCTTTGCATTTTTCTGGGTTTGCTAATGAAAGATGTTTCAGCAGGACAAGTCTCTGTGATGTGGGAGCATCCTCCACTGCTCCAGCCCTGACCACCCTTTCAGGGGATAAATTTTCCCTGATATCCAATTTAAACCTTCTCTGGTGCTAATCAAGGCCTTTCCCTCTCCTCCTGTCCCTGTTCCCTGGGAGCAGAGCCCGACCTGGGGCTGTCCCCTCCTGTCAGGGAGTTGTGCAGAGCCACAAAGTCCCCCCTGAGCCTCCTTTTCTCCAGGCTGAGTCCCTTTGCAGCTCCCTCAGGAATTCTCCAGCTCTGTTCCCTTCCCTGGACACACTCCAGCCCCTCAATGTCCTTTTTGTCACGAGGAGCACAAAACTGACGCCAGGATTTAAGGTGTGACCTCACCAATGCCCAGCACAAGGAACAGTCACTGCTCTGATCCTCCCGCTGGCACAAGACGTGACCTCACATCCCGGTTTTTTTATTTCCCCCTCTCCCCGCAGGTCATAACTGAGCAGCCCTTATGACCAACATGAGCTGGAGCTTCCTCACCCGCCTGCTAGAAGAGATTCACAATCACTCCACCTTCGTGGGGAAGGTCTGGCTCACCGTGCTCATCGTCTTCCGCATCGTCCTGACGGCGGTGGGGGGCGAGTCCATCTACTCCGATGAGCAGAGCAAGTTCACCTGCAACACCAAGCAGCCGGGCTGCGACAACGTCTGCTACGACGCCTTCGCGCCGCTGTCGCACGTCAGGTTCTGGGTCTTCCAGATCATCATGATCTCCACGCCCTCCGTCATGTACCTGGGCTACGCCATCCACAGGATCGCCCGCTCGGCCGAGGAGGAGAAGAAGTTCAAGGGGTTCAAGAAGAAGAAGCAGTTTGCCCTGAACTGGCAGGCCGTGAGGAACATGGAGGACGCCATGGAGGCCGACGAGGAGGAGCCCATGATCTCCGACGACGCGGCCGAGCACGAGAAAGCCAAGGCCAAGCCCAAGGAGCAGCAGAAGCACGACGGGAGGAGGCGCATCCAGCAGGAGGGACTGATGAAAATCTACGTCTTCCAGCTCCTCACCCGGGCCTCCTTCGAGGTTTGCTTCTTGATAGGGCAGTATTTGCTCTACGGTTTCGAGGTGGAAGCGTATTACGTCTGCAACAGGGTCCCTTGTCCCCACACCGTGGATTGCTTCGTGTCCCGGCCCACGGAGAAAACAATCTTCCTGCTGGTGATGTATGTGGTGAGCTGCCTGTGCCTGCTGCTGAACATGTGCGAGATGTTCCACCTGGGATTCGGGACCATCCGCGACGCCATCCGCAACCGGAAAATCAACAGCTTCCGGCAGCCCCCCTACAACTACGCCTACCCCAAAAACATCTCCTGCCCTCCCGAGTACAACCTGGTCGTCAAATCTGAGAAATCCACCAAGATCCCCAACAGCCTGATGGCCCACGAGCAGAACTTGGCCAACGTGGCTCAGGAGCAGCAGTGCACCAGCCCCGACGAGAACCTGCCGGCGGATCTGTCCACGCTGCACAAGCACCTGCGGGTGGCCCAGGAGCAGCTGGACATCGCCTTCCAGAGCTACAGCAGCACCCAGGCCAACACACAGCCCTCTAGGACCAGCAGCCCCGCCTCGGGGGGCACCGTGGTGGAGCAGAACAGGGCCAACACCGCCCAGGAGAAACAAGGTGCTAAACCCAAGGCCTCGCTGGAGAAAGGCAGCTCCAGCAGTAAAGACGGGAAGACGTCGGTGTGGATATAACTCTGTCAGGAAGGAGAGAGGGCGGCGTGAGCCGGGTTTTTATTTTGGGTTTTTTTCTGGTTTTCGGTGTTGTCTCGCGTTTGTTTCGCAGGGCACGGTTTTTGTGTGGGAGTCAAGAGAGTAAAAGGAGTTTTGGACTGATTTAGTGCTGTCTTCCGTGCGTTAACAAAAGACATTTCTTCCTTGTTTCCAACGTGTTCTCCAGCTGAGAATCTCCAGTGAGTATAACAGCAAACCCCCCATCTCCCAGCCCCTGGGTCACCACGGAGCCCCCAGCAGAGACTGGACAATGTGCTGGGGTGGAAAAGGAGCTGCTGGTGGCTCAGGAGAGAAGTGAGGCTGACAGGGATCAGCCACCCTTCTGCATGGCAAGGCTCCAGTGCTGCAGGCCAGGCAGTGTTTAATTACTAAATACCCTTAATCAAATTAATTTCCCATCCTTTGGTAAGAAAACCACTGACATATTGCACGGACCTTCGTGGCAGGCTCACAGCTGACCTGCCTGGACTGGCAGATGCCAAGGAAAACCTCGTGGGATGCTGTGAGCCAGAGATGGCACCCATGTCAGGTCTGGGGCAGGAACACAGCGACTGCCTCACACAGGGAGACCTAAAACCAGCTCCAAACAGGGCTGAAGGTTTCATCTTTTCTTCCTCTGCATCGAAGCAAAAAGCAAATCTGCTCCAAACCCTCCGGAGCAGGAGCGAGCAGTGACATTGAGTCCTACTGGTGCCTGTGTAGCACTTGCTACAGATGTGATGGGAATTGTTGCAGTTACAGAGTTTTTAACAAACTGCTGCTTCACATCATCTGAAAGTGCCTTTATGCAACCAGGAAAACAAAAAGGGTAAAGGGTTTAGACTCCTTTACTTGCTCAATTTTAGACAATTGGCGTCAGGAAATTTGGTTTTTTCTGATTAATCGAGGAAAAGCACTATTGGCAAATTTGTTTTTCTGATTAATCAAACCCTTATAAATAGTGGCAGGTGGCAGAACTATGCATAGCGTGTCTCTGGTGTGTGTGTGTGTGTGTCCATGTGTAGATACAGACACGTATGAACACGTGGGTGTGAACGTAGACGTAGAGAGATAGGTGTAAATGTAATATCAACCCTCTGCTCCTTCTACAGCCATCCACCTCCCCTGAGAAAACCCAGCTGCTCCAGGACTGGGGTTGATCTCATCCTGGGGTTTTTATCCTCCTGCCCCACCTGGGAACTGGGAGGGTTCCCACACTTGCTGGAGGGGCTTTGCAGAAGATCTGGCTTCAATGGGGATGGGACTAGGACAAGAACAGGAAGTTTTTCCTGAGTTTATGAGGGATTTTTTTTCTGCGGGGCTTGACTTTAGGGTGGTTTTCATGCACTTACAGTACTTTGGGTGCATGTTTAAATCAAGCTGCTGAGCTCCAAGGCTCCTACTGTTCTTTGTCAGAGGGTGATTTCATCACCACCACAGGGAACCCAGGTAGGGAGAACCTTCAAGATCAAACCTGTTGCAAAAGAAGTAAATTCCCCCTGAACACTGCACTGTCTCTGTGCCAAGCTGTTCCCCTCAGGCTGTGCCAGGATTTCTTACCCATGGGATATTCATGGCTTCTCCCTGGACATCACTCTCATGTCCTTGAGATCAGTCCCTAAAAGCCCTGAGGATGCCTGTTCCCTGAGTGTCCAGCCCTTTGTACATTCTTGGGAACAGGCAGAGAATTTGGATATGCCCTTCATCTCATGGGAACTTTGGCTGAGCTGTGTGATGCATTAGAGAACAGTCCTGGAAGCAAAAAAAAAAAAAAAAAAAAAAAAAAAAAAAAAAAAAAAAAAAAAAAAAAAAAAAAAAAAAAAAAAATTAAAAGGAAAGCAGAGAAACATCCTACCAGATATCTAGCAGCAAATATTCAGCTTTGTGGCTTTGTGTAGCTGTCTGGGGAATGCTTCCAGGCTTGTTCCTGGTCCTGCTGGAGGCATTGGTAAAATGCCTGGAATGCTGTTTGCTCTTGCAGCTTGAGATTTTCCCCTCATAAATGGGGGACTGGATCCAGGAGAAGGATCAGCACAGCAGCAGTCAGTAGTGACATCCATCCATCCATCCATCCATCCATCCATCCATCCATCCATCCATCCCCTCCTGCTGGGAATTTCGCAGGAAAGGCTCAGAAAGGTCACACCACGGTGGTGGGGAGACAACCATATCCAACTGCTCTGTTTGTCCTTGTCCCATGTGTGGGGATGTGCTGGGCAGAGCAGGAGAGGCTGGGTGCTCACAAGAGCTGCTGTCACCTGGAAAAAATACCTGCAGGGCAGGCTGCTGGGGAGGAGAGAGGTGATCCTGGGGGGAAATTTGTTCCCTGGTCGCTGCAGCTGTCCAGGGCATGAGCTTGTCCTGTGCACCAGTGGGACTTCTCTTGTTCCCAGCCCTGTGTCCCATAGGAAACTGTGAGTATTTAAAGTCGTGATCCCAAGGGAAGGATGGAAACTGAGGGTAACCATGGCTGGATGGTGCCTGGGTTCTTCTGATTCCTTTTCCATGAGCAACACCACCATAGCCCCAGATAAACTCGTGTTTCCCACAGGATGCTGGAAGGCACCGCCCCATGCAGGAATTGGGATTTTGGATTTCTCCTGCCCCTATCAGTGACACTTCCCTCAGCACCATTCTTGGTCTGAGCACTTTCTGGTGACTCAGATCTGCCCCTCAGCTCCTGCTGACCTGCAGATCCCCCCCGTGAGTCACCACACCAGGGACAGGAATGTGACTCCCTTGCAATTGCTCCAGGAAATATCTTGGCAAATGCCTCGTGGGGAAAGCAAGGGGCAGATTTTAAGCCAAAACCACCCAGATCTGATCACAGAGACCTGATCAAGTCATTAAACCCAGTCTAGACAGCAGGGCTGCACCTGCTGCCCCAGCAAAACCCCAGCAGTGCCCATGGGAGGAGATGCCAGGCTCAGAGCAGGAGGGTGGGAAAAGACCATGGATCTTCTTGCCAAATTGCCACCATCAAATGACTCCCTAAAGGGGGACATGAACCCCCTCTCTGCAACCCCGTGGAGACATGGAGAAGTCTCATGCCTTTAACCTCTGCATATTTTGGATGTTTGGAGACTGTTTTCACCCTCAAATCTGCTTTAAGCTGAGCACCTCCAGTCTCATCAACCTTTCTCCAAGGGCTGCTTTTCCAGTGTGGTTTTCTTTGTCTTTGGACCAGCACGAGCCACCTCGTGTCGCCCCAGCAGTGTGGCAGTGCTGATCCTTGTGCCACCTTCCCTCCCCTCTCCTCTTCCTGCACTCTGGTCCTCCCCAAAACCCCATCTCCTGCAGGTCTGGGCACTGCTCCCCTCTCCAGATGTCTGGTTGTACAGTCAGAATCTTCTTGCCCTCCTTCAAGGCCCCTTTTTATTGTCACACAGTGAGCCAAGGGGGCTCTGAGTGACCCGTGGGTCCTGCAGGGGGTTTGGATCCTCTTCCCAGCTGGTGTCACCCTCCCATCTCACATGCACACGCAGGCAGAGTTCAATAACTGCAATATTGATGAGTACCAGACCCAGGGCAGACTCTGGGGGGATCAATAATCTCCTGGTCAGGCAGGGACAGGGGGTAACCATTCCCAGCCCTGCTCATCCCTCAGACTTGGAGCACTTTCCTGCATGACATCCCTTCCCAATGGGAACTGATCCTGCTTTCCCATGTTTTCCAAGCCTTTTGACCCAAGCACGGGGTGTATTTCCAGCAGGAGTACTCTGGTGTCAGGGGTGTCTGGGAGGGATGCAAAGTTGCCTGTGAGCTCCCAGCCAGCCTGGAGGACACTGCTGATCCTCTGAGCCCAGTTCTCCCAGATCCCATCTGGGCCACACACAGGAGCCACCATGGGTCAGACAGCCCTAGGAACCGAAAAGATTATTATTATCATTATTATTATTGCTCTATATACTGATTTGCTCACTTCCCCCCTTCCTCCTCCACTCTGTGACCTACAAACCCTTGAGGATGTTGAGTTTCTCCACTGAGTCACTCCACAAAGGTGATCAAATGCAATGATGACTCTGCAGGAATAACTCCTTTCAGGGCAGGAGCAACAATTCCTTCCTTTATCCTCTCAGCTGGGGCAGGAAAAGGATAGAGCAGCAAAATATTCACAAAATCCCCACCACAACTGTTCCTAACTCAACCAGCAGCTCGAGGAAATTCATTTGGAGGGCAGAGCATCAGCCACGGAAGAAATGCCAATGGTATAATTAATGCTTTGCTTTTCTTTTTTTGTTTTCTCCAGGTAGCAGTTTCGTCCACACACAAGACAGGTTTAGCTTTGTGGCTGAACTAATTATAAACATTGACTCTCTTGCTAAACTTGGTCAGATAAAGTGCCCACACTTATATTTCTCTTCTTACCATTCAGGGCCAGGAATGTCCCACAAAAAGCCAGATTACCTTCCTGCTTGCATTGCATTCCACTGGGAAATACTTGAACTTAACTCACGGCCATAACCAGTCTGTGCTGTTACAAAGTGTCTGGGATTGTTTCTTTGTGGGTTTTTCTTTTTTTTCTTTTTTTTTTTTTTTTTTAATGTACTAACTGTATTTGTACTAGAAAGTTTTGGAATACGAGGTTGAATCTGTAAGTATTTTTCAGTGTAAATGTTACACCTGGGCTATAGTTAGAATATTAAACACTGGTCAAAAGGGAAAGGGACACCAGTCCAACTCAACTGTGGCTATTCCACATCCACTACTAATAATATGGAATAAAACTTACATTTTGTTACAATACATACAGCGTGTGGTGCTTGCTTGAGAAGGGCTCTGAGTGACGAGAAGAAATCCTTCTCCATCTGTGATTTGCCTCTTTTAGCCACGGACGAGCTCCATTTTCCCTGATATGGCTACAAATCATCACAAAATAGTTTTGCCTTAAGAAGCGTTTGACCTTGGCGTTGTTTGGGATGCGCTGTCTCCCTGATGAATCACTGCCCGCACATCCCTCAGGCACAGAGCTCAAACTGCTGAGGGAAGCCTGGGCTTTCAAAAGCAACAAAACTTCGGGGAATCTGCGGGAAACTGATGATTCAGGCTGAGCAAACGATGGGAAAGCACTTTGTGAGAGAGCCTGGCTTCCCAACCACCTCAGTCTCTGCTCCTCCTATTAAATCACAGACACTGTTCACTCACAACCCCTCTCCAAATGTCCTCAGGGGAAAAAAAAATCTGGACTCAAACATGCGGGGTTTTTTTCTGTTTCTCTGGAAGTTGAGCTGAGTTGACAACTTCTTTGGCAAGGACAGGATGTGGTCCCACCAAGAGACAGGGAAGAGCCAAGGCCAGGTTGGATGGGGCTTGGACAGCCTGGTGTGGTGGGAGGTGTCCCTGCCCCGGGGGTTGATCCCCACTCATAGAAGGAAGAATGGCAAAAGCAGCCCCCATCCAGCAGAATTTTGGGAATAGGCAGAATAACTGCAACTCCTCCCATTTCTTTGGAAAGCCAGGGTAAAATTGCCAGTGTCAGGAAAAGTAATCCACAAACACCAGAGTTTTATTTCCAAAAAGGAGACAGAGGAGTCCTTTTACTTTATTTGAATAAAGGGAGAGGCCATGGGGCATTCCCCTGGGATATCTCCACTTTTTTGGAGGATGAAGCCTCCCTTTTTATCCTGTTTTCCCACTCACATTTCCCTCTCTCTTTCCCCATTGGCTGAGGTACTTGAGAGGCACAGACTTCCCAGAACACCTGATACCTAAGATTCCCCTCTAATGCACAACCCTCCCTTTTAATTTTTAATTCTCATAGACTTCATGTTTTTTCCCCATTGCTTCTTTCATCTTTCAATATCCAATTTCGTTTACCAGCAAACCTACAGTTTGTTTGTAAAGGCAAATATCTTTTTTTCCATTCATCAATCAGTGGAATCCTTCCCATTGTTTCTTTTATCTCTCAGTGCTGTTTTTTTCTACCAGCAGACCCACAGCTTGTTTGTAAACACAAATCCATCATTCCTCTCAGCAGCGACT